TCCCTTCTGCACATCAGGGAACCTTGAGGCTCAGAGGCACCAACAGGTGAATTCTCTGGTCACGTTTCCTTGGGTTTGGGAGACATTCCAATGGGCATCGTAAAAGTGGATTCTAACAAGCTTCATGAACTCTTCATGTCTAAAGGTATCCAGCCCAGATAGTCATGATAATCCATCATAAGACTTTGTGCATTCACCTGATCATGAAAAAGCAAAGCCTGTGCTCATGCCTGTGTGAGAGGAGAAGAGAAAGAAATTTTTGTTTATTGAGTCCCTGTCATGAGAGGCAGATGGTTTGTGAAGAAAATAGGTGGGACAGACACTTGAGTTTTATTTCCATATCGCTTACTGCCTGTATGAGACTGTGTATCTGCAATAATTAATTTCATTTATTTTTCAACACATATGCCTTGAACATCTATGATGTGCCAGGTGCCAAGATATAGGCACTTAAGCCATCCTCAGTTTTACAGTTGAGGAAACTGCACCCCTAAAAGACTAAGCAGTTTGTACCTGTTCACACAACATATGAGAGAAAAGCAGGAAGGTGGGCCCAGCTCTCCATAGATACTATACTTTTAACCAGAAAATGTACTGATTTTTGTAAACCTTAACGTACCCTACTGATACAAGGTATTATTATGAAGATATGTTAATGCCATTTTTTTTCTTTTCCTTTGTCTCTTTTCTTCCTTTTACTCTCCTTCCCTCCCTGTCTTCCTCCTTTCTTTCTTTTTTATTCTTTTCTCTATAAGACTCCACAGAATGGAGCAAGAATGAGAGGAAAGAGGCCGGCAGAAAAGCATGAACTGGAGGTTTGTTGAGCTCCTCTACTTCCTATTTATATGGGGCCGTATCTCAGTGCAGCCCTCCCACCAGGAACCAGCTGGGACAGACCAACATGTCTCCAAGGAATTTGATTGGCTTATTTCAGACAGGGGGCCTTTCCACCACTCCAGGAGCTACCTATCCTTTGTGGAAAGACACCGTCAAGGATTTACAACCAGATATAAGATATACAGGTAAGATCTGGGCCAAGATAGCCCTTGCCTTTCATCCCTATTGTGTTTTGTGGGACCAGGCACTGGCATGGCCCTCGCTCTATGAAGAGGTGTCTGGCTCAAAAACTTACACCCCCTTCACAGGCTGCTTTTCACTTTTCTTTTCTTTTTTTTCACTTTGCACAAGAGATTAACAATGATGAGCAGATCAACTAGCTAATGTTTATTGAGTACTTATTGTGTGCTGGACATGGGGTTTAATATTTATTACATATATTATCTCATTTAAATCTTCTAATAACCATCAGATGTTGGTTTTGTTTTCTCCACTTCACAAATTAGAGCTAGGTTAAATAACATGTCTGAAGTCACAGGGAAGAACTGAGATTCAGACCCTGCTTTATCTGCATCTATAGTCATGGTAATTCTACTCAACCGCATCAGGAGTAAGTTGTGCTGTTTTGCAAAGGCTGTTAATGTAACCAATATCCTACCCAAACCTATTCACACGTTTGGAAAAAGTGGGGACACTCATTAAACAACCTTTTCCTGAGCAGGTCTAAACCGGTTCTTGGCCTATTGAAATCCTATTCACGGAAAGAGGATTTAGCCCAAAGTCCTTTTCTCCTTGAAACTACTGTCTTAGATTCTCCACATTCCACTTAATTACCATCCCTTTGACATATCCACAGCTCTACACACCTATTCTTTTTTTAATTTTAAACCATTTGGAATTAGAGTGCCTTCCTGTATTTCTTTCTCACCTAACTGGAAACTCTTTGAGAGAAGGATTTATTTATAATTCATTTCTGGATTCCCAGAGTGATTTTTGCCCTGCCTTGTTATTATAAGCACATAATAAACGTTGTGGAATTAAATGAATTGCAGAATTCAGAAAACTCTCTGGAGGTGTAGTCTTTGCCTTCAGATCAAGGAAGAAAGAGCAAACCCTAACAGTTTGGGGCTAGTTAGAATAAGAGAGCCAGAAAACATGGTATAGGAAAGAACCCTGGCCTGCAGCTGAGAAGGCAGGAATTCAGATCTTAAATCTTCCAGATAGTTGATATGAAAAATGGGCATGTCTTCTTTGCACGTTTTGTGGTATTGTGGTCTGGGAATGAGTGATTTGTAAAATCTCTACCAGCTGCAAATGCCTGTGATTCTATACTAAATATTGAAATAAAGTTGGAACAACTTTAAAACTAGTTGACTGAGGTCTTGCAATGGTTCCACTTGTGCAAGAGTTCATGGATGAACTTTCTGTGAGGCTTGAAGAGTGGTAAATAGGCAGAGAGTTATTGGGGAAAGTTGCTTCTGAGCACGATGAAATGGAGGAACACAAAGGAAAATGAACATAGGGTGTGTAAGAAATGGAAAAAAAAGCAAAAGGTTGAGAAATATGGGGCAGTTCTTCCCTCAAAATAAAAGAATATTGGAAATTCAAAAATAAGATTATTGATTAAAAGGGCTACTCCTTGGGAGAATTATTCCTAAATCACATGTGAACAGCAGCTATCTGGATTCTTAAAATAGTTTCTGGAAGAATACACCATCTTTGTTGGTTAGCATGCATAAACTAAATATGGATGGTCATTGGCTGTTTAACAGAACATGCCAATATCTGAATCTTCTGGTACCGGGGAAGATCCAAGCTTGAAATGTTGGGTTTAGGTGAACAGAAGTAGTGGAGATTCAGATATTCTACTCTGTGTGTGATTTGTCAAGTAATAACAACCTCTTGGTTTTATGTATGATTTTCTCTTCCATCTGAGCCTTCCAAGGATGCTTTAAGGTTGAGATGACTGGGATTCCTATTTCCATTTTAAAGTTAGATAAGGAAATAAGTGACTTGAATAAAGTCATCTAGCCAAGAAAAAGTGAATCCTAAACTGGAAACACAGTATAAAACCACACTAATGAATGTGCTAGAACTATAGGTGTTCGTTTTTTGTTCAATAATGTTTCTTAGCAAATGCTGTATGCCTGACCCTATGCTAGACACTGAGGGTAAGAGGGCCTGAGGAAAAGGAATCCTGATATCACATGGCGGTGGCTAGTTTTAAGAGAAGCTACAGCTCATGTTAGACAATCAATACATGTTTGTTATTGCTGTTGAAATAACTTACATTTAAATAGAACCACAGATAACAGAGTGCTCAGTAGTAGCATCTTTTTACTGAGCACTTATAATGTGCCACGAGGGAGGACATTCAGTGTTCACAACATCCTCTGTGAGGTGGGTAGGGCCTTACCACATTACAGATGGGAAAACCAGGACTTGGGGAAGATGTTGGTATTGTCATAGATCATCCATCTGATATGAGGTGGAGCTAAGGTCCAGACACTGATCTACCTGACCCCAAAACCCTTCTTTCAAATGTTATGCTAGGTGCCTCCTGTATTCCTCCTGCATTATGGCTTCCAAATGTAGAGTGTTTCAGAGCTCTGAAAGGATTCTTCCAAACATTCTTTCTTACAACCACTTTGCAAACATTTTCGGGATCTTTTTAGAGATGCTGAGAAGTGAAAACTTGCTAATGAGTTTGGAGATGAGGATATCAGAATACTAGTTCCAGTTGTCCATGCACTGGCCTTGCTGCATTAGGTAAGCCCCCTCCTGTCCTGGATCCTCTTTCCCTCATTTATCAAATGATTAGGGTTGATGTAAATCAGTGATTTTCAACCTTTGTTAATTGAAATCTTGAGGATTAAGTAAAGTATCTATAGAAATCACTGTTATGTGGGGAGAGAGGCAAAGGGGGTGATCAGGCAGGATTCCCACCCCTAAACCTCCCTTATACAAGGAAAGACTTGCATCTGCTAAGTTCGGATTTCACGTATGCTTTACTTTGGACTCCACTACTACGACAAAGTTTGTCATCATCCAACGAGCTGATCTCTGAGACTGTTTCTAGCTACAAAATTAAGTGTAAGATTTAGCCAAGGTCACATGGTTAATTAAATAATGGAGTTCAACCCAGAAGTCAGGCCCCTGGCCATCTAGTTTTCCCTTCCTTCCTTCATTTAATCCTCAAATAATTATTAAGTACCAGCTTCAGGCCTCACTGTGTTTAGGGCAGATGATACAGTGATGAGTAAAACAAACATTGTCCTTGCTCTCATAGGAAAGACTGACCTTAATTAAACATGCTCCCACGAGCACATGCACAAAGAAAAAAGTGCAGGATAGGCATTACTGGGAGGTCATAAATACCACAAACATTGATTTGGCACCTAGGATGTGCAAAGATTAGGTGAGGCCCTTGTCATAATCTGCACATGTGCACACATGAAAATAAGTACCCAGGGACATGTACTTATCCAGGTTCAGACCAGAGCAAAAGCCAACTAAGACATGCTCATTGGGGCAATTGTCAATTGTCAATTGCTTCTTTGTTGAAACACTAAAGCATGTCCATAGACAATTTCCAGTGCGTCCCTTTCTGCATGCTAACATTGGCACAACACATGAGAAAGTTGACATTTACATCATGAAAGAAAGGCCTTCCTACCATACTGTCATATTGTCTGATACTAGAGAGCCAGCTTTACTGAGATGTCCCAGACCTCAAGCCTTGGCTGGTTCCCTTCTCCCTAGAATCCAGGCTGGAACCTGGGTTAATCTGGAAGCTTCAGAAAGAAACTGGGAGAAAGTCTTCCTTTCTCACTTAAGTAGGTTAAGACAATCTTTTTCCTCTTGCTTATGCACACAGAGGCTGGCTTCAGCTCATAGAGTAGTGGTGGGGAGTCATTGCCAGGGGCAACGATGAGAATCTTTTATACTAAATCCCAGCAGAAGCTCCCTCTCATGTTACTTCACAAGCCATGTAGCAACATGTGCATACACAGTGGTTTGGGTGCATGAGGTACACACTCTCATGCACACGCTTGAGTTGCCACATGGAGGCTGGGGGAGTTTTCTGCTGTTGAATCTGCCAGGGTGTGGTGGCAGCACCATTAACCTCAGTCCGGGAACCTACGCCCTGGCCCAGCTCACCTACCTCCTTGCTGTGAGGTTTTGACCACGTTATGGAACTTCTCTGAGCCTCTGTTTCCTCATCTGTAAAATGAGAGTGCTAGCTGAGGTAGCCTCCAAGGTCCTTCTCATCTCCAAAATTCCATGTTTCTGTGAAACATTGTCATTGGAAAATACAGTGCAGAGGACTCTGGGTTTGGAGTTCAGAGACTCAGGTTTTGTTCATTTTAGATCCTCTTTCTAGCTTTCTCATCCCAGGCAAATCCATTTATGCAGCATTCACTCACTCATGCATTCATTGTTTTAGAATTTAACACCAAGCATATGCCATAAACTGTGCTATGATTTGGTGATACAAAGATGACCAAAATAGAACAATAAAGCATACACCTCCCTCTCTGCCACAACCCATACCCCCTCCTCCACCAGGCTCAGAGTCGGGGGCAAAAATATATATAAAATAAAAAATTGAATAAGCAGATAATTATCATTCCATGGATAGGAATGCCCCTTCAGATACTCAATTTTCTCCCTGTCAAAAGGGATAATAATGTCTGTCCTACCTAGTAGGTCAAATGAGATAGTTTGTGTGAGAATACTTTGTACAATTTAAATGATCTTATTTCTGCAAAATTTTTTTTTTCATTGGAGTCCTGAATCAGTATTATAATAGAATAATTTATTTTTACTTTCTGTTAAGTTCATACATACATGAGTCATTAACTACTCATAGCCATTCTTTGAAGAAAATGCTATTATTGTTCCATATTATGAAAGAGAAAACTGAGGCACTGAGAGGCTAAGCATATTCTTTACATCACATAGCTGGGAGGTGGCAGAGGTGGGTTTCAAAAGCAGGCTTCTGAGACTCCACATGTAAGCTCTTAACTCAATGCTGTCACGACTCTCCCTGATTCTCAGTTCCCTGGTTTATTTCCAAATACCAAGAGATTTCCTTTGACCAGGGGCAAGTTGCAACCTCTCTGAAACTCAGTTTTCTCATCTGTAAAATGGAGATGGTATTAAATACCTTGTGTAGTCGTGG